GAGAAGACGATGCTGGTTGCCACTTATCCCGTCTTGTTTTAACCACCCAAACCTTTCTTCGGTTTTGATCGGCAGGGAATCGAAACATTCGGTAACCTTTATCATCACTATCCGCACAATTTGGAGCCGAACAACGCGGCATTTTCTTAATTTTCTACGCTACTCTAGCCGGCTGCCATCTCGGATTATGACGTCAAAAGGACCAATATGGCTGCAAACTTGGCGGAAGCGTACGAGCATACCTAGGTAATCTAGCGCCTTAATATCACCCGGTGGTAAAGTGCGACGTAATTTTCACGTAATAGTAGTAGTATGCGTTTATAATGGTCGTTACGCGGAGAACATCGCTTTCCGATATGTCTTTTAAGAATAACTGACCCCTATTCGAACGTTACAGACGTGAAGAAAATCCGGAAAGCTCCACGCGAACCTAATCCACGACCGAACTCCCTGTATTCGGAGTCGGGAACTGCTCGGCCACCGGTGGGCGGTTCGTTTTGTGATGTCTAATGACGGCGGGCAGATCTCGGTGCCATTACCGAGTCCGTCGTCCCGTCGACTTTCTTCTCCAGACCGGAGAATTCGGTCAGATTAACCGGTAAAAATAATTAATATACATTATTCCGGAACAGTGGCGCGATGACGAAAAGTAAAACGTTCCTGGGTGTACGTAGGCCTACCGTATCGAATATCGACTTATTCGTCCCCATTTAAATATAATTATTATGGACTTAAGAAATAAAGAGGACGTTTCTAAAGTCCACGACGTTGCCACAGTTTGCCACGAAACGTTTCTAATTCTCTTCGTTAGCAACCGGAAGTTGCTAACGAAGAGTCACGTGACTGTCGATCCCCGTATTTTCATCGATCTTCGCCAGTCCCGATAACCCGGGCAGTCTGACGAATGTCGAAATCAAATTTAAGCTACGGGATGGCAGTTACCACAGAAGTTCTTCGTTTATATACGAAGATCTTAAATTGGCTTTAGCTGCGGATAAAGAAATCGCAGTTCTTATTAAAAATACATACATACCAGGGCTGTGGAGTCGCGTAAAAATCTACCGACTCCAACTCCGACTCCGACTTTTCCTTACCAATCCGACTCCGGCTAAAACACCAAAACTCCACGACTCCGACTCTGACTCCATAGCCCTGCCAGGGCTGTAGAGTCACGTAAAAATCTACCGACTCCAACTCCGACTCCGACTTTTCCTTACCAATCCGACTCCGGCTAAAACACCAAAACTCCACGACTCCGACTCCGACTCCACAGCCCTGATACATACATACGTATCTTCACGCCTTTCCCTTTCGGGTTGGCAGTGAATGAGCCAACCCGAAAGGGAAAATAATATGTTTAAAATGTTTATTAATGCAATTATCAAAAGACTGTTTTTAGTAGAGTTTTCACAATTTTCAAAGAACCTTTACTATCGACATAATCTGCGGGTGTAATTTTCAGAAAGAATTAATACGACTAAACCAAAGGGAAGCTCTTATGTCTCCCTTTTGTTTTTCCACCTCCTCGACTTTAGCCACCGAATTTTAATAGCGTCAATTACCTAATACATAATTGGCAAAATTTCAGAAATTTTTCACAAAGTGCGCGGGAGTTATCGAGCCGGGTACATCTGCCAAAGCCAAGAGTCGAGGTCAGCCAATGGTAGATAAAAGCGTTGCGTCAACATCGTTTCTTACTGCCACGCCATCATTTTGTAAACGACGAATATTTATTACACTTAAGCTTACAAATAACATTAATTTTATAATTTGTTTTACGATTACAATTTATTCAACGTTAGCAAATGCCAAACAATTATCGTGCAAATATCATAATTTTTAATATTTATTGACTTATAAAATATAGCAACGCTAACACTTTTCCTTCGTAAATAATGATTGAAAAATCAGTGCCGCAGCGTAAAATCCCTCGAGCTCGGCGTAAAGAAAAGACCTCGATGTTAATTCCACCAAACAATAAAAGTTTCCTAATAATTTGTTTTTACAATTTTTATTCTTTTTCGGTGAATTTTAGAAATATTCGCAAACGTAGCCCGCGGGCGGTGCAGCAATTGCATTAAAGTTCGAATACTCGTAATTTCGGGTAAGCGCGGCCTTCGAAAAAAACGCTTTAGATTAAGGTCTACCGAATGAGAATATGAAATAAAAATGCGACTTTTCATTTAAGAATATAAGTTTTATCCCGTTTTAAGCCCGTATACGACGAGACCCATGGTCCCGTCTCGCCACCCCCACAATTTCGGTTTAGCCAACCTTTTTCGGAATGCTCGTCACGAAACATCAAGGATTCTACACTTTTATTGCCTATGAATGTTCCGATTGGTCTATTCCAGGTACGAACGTCTCTCACCTTTCACGACTTTTGTTATTCATCGTAATATTTAAATATGTAAAATACTGTTTTTATTTTTAATATTTTTCTCAAAACTTAACGCAACGATAATGTTTTTGTAAGAACGTGACGTAAATAAATAAACCGGAAGATGTCGAAATATACGCGCCGATTACTTTCGACGGTGACGAGATATTTCTGTTAGTTTTTTCCCTTTTTCACGTGGAAGAGGTCGTCAAGGTCGCCGGTGCTACCGATTTTTCTTGGAAATATACCGAAAAGTCGGAAGAAAATATCTCGACGCCGCGTTAATTTTAAATTTATCAAAATGTATTTTACAGTACAGAATAAAATAAAACCGGAGTAATTGGTATCCTCTACGGACGAATAATAAGTTTCTCGGTAAGTTAATTCGGATAAACTACCGTCCGAAATAGGCGTATTACGGTACGGTACAACCCTCTGGATTCTATTAAAATATTTCTACTCGCTGCAAAGAGAACGTTTGATAAATTAAAGTAAGTTTTTCTCCGTCGTCATCGTCGACGGACCAAACAGCCCGAAAACTTCACCCCCGGAGACATCCACTTTTACCAAACGGAGAAAATGTTTGCGGAGTTTCGCCATTTCCTCATTAAAGTAACTCGAGTCGTCTGCTCAAAATCGAGCAGACGACCCGAGTTACTTTCGCCGAAACCCGGGCTTTAACATGGCCGAAAGGCACTGGGCTTTATTAACTTTTCCTGCGGTGGCTGGACTACGCTGGCTGGCCAATAGTTCGGAACTTTCTCACCGGATATTTTTTCCGAATAACGGTTCCTAATTTTTTCGCTTTTGCATTTCCTAGCGGGTTCTCGAATATCCGGTCAAAGATCGCGCGGCATCTTCGTAGTTTCTATAAAATTCCGGATTGCCCAGTAGTTACGCCTGGCCACCGAAAGGCGGATTTAGTTTTCCCAGGAATTTTGTGGCGGAAACGACGGAAATCGAACTCCTCCGGTAGCCTTCTTGGTTTTTCGGCCACTTCGCGCCTCTCTGTAATTCGGATTACGGAGCGAGTTTCCGTCTGAGGAGGAAAATAACCATTATAACAAAAATAATCATTAAGATTAGCATGTTTTTCCCCTACGAAGAAGTATTCCTTCGTACAAGAAGAAAGGTTAATCCTAATGGTTATTTTTATTATTAAAAGGTTAAAAGGTTAATCATAATTGTCGAGTGCGCCTTCTCAGAAAAACTATTACGTATTTCACTAAGCGTACTGTACATTATAATTACTTTATTACGTGATCTTTTTAATTCTTCTTGACATTGGAATCGTTCTTTAATTGCGATGTGGTTAATACTGGTTGTATTACTTATCGCACGCATGGCCGGTTGCATTTCTCTACGCGGTTTGGCACGGTCCGATACTTTATCCCGCATCGTATTTTACCAATAAATTACTTTATTGGTTAGAACGGGGATCGGCATCCTTTCGGCGGCGTTGCGCCGAACCTAAGTTATAGCGTTCCGCGCATAGTTTGTTAAATCAGAGCCGTAAGCTTTGCCAGTTGATGTACCGGACAGAAAGCAAAGTATGTGTACAGCAAACAAAACCAAACGTGGGTGTTTATTTTTCAATAATGGATATAATATTAAATCAGTGTTTTGTTACATGGACGATAGGATGCGACAAAGCCGTTGACGAGTCGTATTTGACCTCCAGATTTTTCACTTTTTTCTTACCCGTCGGTTGCATTTTTTCACTCCAACCATTAATCGATCGTTTATTTCGCCGGTTAAAAGTAAAAAACAGAAAAATTTCTTACTTAAAGCAAATTTTAATAGCGCAAATAATAATTATTATTATGTATACTATAATGTTATANTGCGTTAATTTGTAAAGAGAACTGGTCATATATCGACTGAAGTTGTAGCTTCACTATACCCTTCGTAACTCCAGAATCTGTTTGACCCAGACCTATAATTCTTAATTTTCCAGTTTCTCGTGGCAATCTTGTTCTCTGTACAAACACCTCACTAACAAATGATGACTGCGATCCATTATCTAGTAGTAGTCTAGCTTTATGTTTGGTTCCAAACGAGTCAATCACATTTACTACTGCCGTCGCTAACAAGACAGTTTTTTGTTGAGTTTCAGATGCGTGGTGTGTAATAATCACTTCACTAGTGTTGCAATTCGCTGTTATACAAGAAGATGCTGCGTTTGATGCTGTAACTAGAGCGGGAGATTCGTCTTCATGTAGCATGGTGTTATGTTTCTTACGACAATGCTTGCATGTAGATGTAGATTTACAGTCTTTCACTGAGTGATTACCCTTAAAACAGTTAAAACAGAGTCCAGCATTCTTGATAGTGACCTTACGAGTTTTCACGCTCTGTTTCTGGAACGCTGGACAATAAAAAACATGATGAGCCTCCTTGCAAACTGGGCAACTTAAAACGGTCACACTATGAGCTTTGAGTGTATTTGATAGTTTTCCTATGTTTTGTTGTGTTCTTTGTTTCCACATATTGCTCACGGAAATCTCTAGAGCACGATATCTCTGCTCCAGAAATTGCTTCAACTCATTGAATGTAGGAAATGTAGTCGTTGTAGCCTTTAATTCCCACTGTTTTCTTGTTTCATCATCGAGTTTGTTGCTTAANAGATTTGTTCATTTAGTGATTTATTGTTCGATGACTTGGCTGAGGCATCAAAAACTACACGGAGCTTCGTGGTTTCGCTGCTTTCTCGTATGACGCAATGATGAGGTATATAATAACACTCTTCAGTAGTTGAGACTTCATACATATGGTGTTTATTTTCATACTCCTTCATGAAATCATTGTATTGAGTACGAATGTACGGATCCTTTTCTAGTCTTCTTTCTAATGCCTGAAGCCGACGAAATGCTATCTGCTTGGAGTCTCCCAACGTTGGTCTTTCTTCCCTAAAGGGAAATGAGACTGAATAGCGTCCATTTTCTTGTCTTCGATGAGTTTTTTGAAAATGTTCTTCACATTTTGTTTCTTCTGCCGACATTTTTTGTGTAGCTTCTACCTCTTCGATTTCCCAAAATTGTTTTAGTATTTTATCTGTGTTACACGTAACAAAGTTGCAGATCACCTTGTCTTCAAGTTGCTGACCCACAGGACCAGAGACTACCCATCCAAACCTTGTGAGCTGTAAATAAGGACGGTTTGACTCCTTCACTATTGGCGTGGATGTTAAGACATCATGATAATAATCTGCTCCTAATAGAATGTCTATTTCACGAGGCTTGTTGAATGCTGAGTCTGCTAGATCTATATTCTTAATATGCTTCCAGTCTGAAATGTTAACCTTTACTGCTGGGAGAATACCTGTAAGCTTCGGCAATACGAATGCGTTAATTTGTAAAGAGAACTGGTCATATATCGACTGAAGTTGTAGCTTCACTATACCCTTCGTAACTCCAGAATCTGTTTGACCCAGACCTATAACTCTTAATTTTCCAGCTTCTCGCGGCAATCTTGTTCTTTGTACAAACGCTTCACTAACAAACGATGACTGCGATCCATTATCTAGTAGTAGTCTAGCTTGATGTTTGGTTCCAAACGAGTCAATCACATTTACCACTGCCGTCGCTAACAAGACAGTTTTTTGTTGAGTTTCAGATGCGTGGTGTGTAATAATCACTTCACTAGTGTTGCAATTCGCTGTTATACAAGAAGATGCTGCGTTTGATGCTGAAACTTGAGCGGGAGATTCGTCTTCATGTAGCATGGTGTTATGTTTCTTACGACAATGCTTGCATGTAGATGTAGATTTACAGTCTTTCACTGAGTGATTACCCTTAAAACAGTTAAAACAGAGTCCAGCATTCTTGATAGTGACCTTACGAGTTTTCACGTTCTGTTTCTGGAACGCTGGACAGTAAAAAACATGATGTGCCTCCTTGCAAACTGGGCAACTTAAAACGGTCACACTATGAGCTTTGAGTGTATTTGATAGTTTTCCTATGTTTTGTTGTGTTCTTTGTTTCCACATATTGCTCACGGAAATCTCTAGAGCACGATATCTCTGCTCCAGAAATTGCTTCAACTCATTGAATGTAGGAAATGTAGTCGTTGTAGCCTTTAATTCCCACTGTTTTCTTGTTTCATCATCGAGTTTGTTGCTTAATGTATAAACCAAAATGTGATCCCAATGATCTGTCGGCAATTTTAACACTGCTAATGCTCTGACATGTTTTACAGTAGTGTCTAGCAGTCGTTTGATTTCACTCGCCGAATCAGTCCTTGCACGTGGCTGTTGAAAAAGAGCCTTAAGATGACTGTTAATAATCTGTCGTTCATTTTCATATCTATCTTGCAGTATCTTCCATGCTTCTGTATAATTACCATCACTGACTTCAATGGAGTGTAGGAGTTGTTCAGCTTCTCCCTTTAAAACTGATTTAAGGTAATGAAGTTTTTGTGCGTTTGTTAAAGTTGCATTGTTATGCACTATTGCTGAAAATAAGTCTTTGAACTTGATCCATTCTAAATAATCTCCGTCAAATGTTGGTAGTTCAATTTTTGGTAATTTTATCGACGTGGAGTTTGCCTGCCCTTCAAATGATGCATTCGACTGTCTCGGTGATGCCTGTGTTGATGTCTCTGTTATTGGCGCCTTTTCGTCGATTAATGATGATAATTTGGATCGTGCTTGAATATATTTTTCCTCTACTTCTTCATAATCTTTTTCTTGAGCTGTTGATTGTTCATCTGTTCCAAACATGATTATATTGTTACTTATATTAAGATATTCTTTCCACGTATCGTCTAATAACGTGATTCTTGTGCGAAGAATATGAATAGTTGCATTTTGAGCTTCACTACCAATGGCAAAATTGTAATGTCTTGTTATGCTTTGTTTAATAACCTTACGGTTCCTTTTTTGTTGCGAAATGTCCATGATGAATATTAACTTGCGATATGCTATATTAAACTATGATAGAAACTTCTACTCACTTGCTAATGTTGTACTGAACTTTGCTCGATACTCGATATTCCAACCAACGCAGTATCCACGAGGTTAGGCTTAACACACTGTATCAAAAAGTCTCTTGAAAAGACGTTCCTCACTGAAAATGATTGCGATTCTTTGTTATCGGACTTAATCCGCCTCGACGGACCAAAAAATATGTTATGTAATAAATGATCTTTGTGTTTATGCTTCTGTTTTTGCTAAAAAGAGACAGGACAAACTTTGTTTCGAACTAACGTTCATCAAACGCTCTCGTTCTCGTCTCTTCTCACGAGAGTTATGATACATATTTATTAATAATTTAAGTAATTACAATTGTGGAAAAATGTATAAAAAACTAGATAAATTAAATTATGGAGTATTTAAACAATAATAAATTTGTAAAACATAAATATGAGAAAATAACAAAAAACATAATATCCGCGGGGTGGCGACATCCATCACCCCACCATCCACTTATGATAAGTTTTTCTAAATCTTCTTTGCTTTCTGTCAAAAGGGTGGTATCATCTGCATATCTTATATTATTAATAGTTTCGCCTCCAATCTTGATACCAATGGACTCTTCCTTTGTAGTAACCATTCTCATGATACAAGGTATATTCAGTATATAAGTTAAACAGATATGGAGACAAAATGCAGCCTTGTCGCACCCCTTTCTCAATTTTAAAGCATTCAGTTTCTCCGTATAGAGTTCTTACTTTTGCTTCTTGTTCATTGTAAAGACTCATCAATAAAGATATAAGGTGTTCAGGAATTCCCATGCTCCTGAGTACTTTCCATAGCTTGGAGTGATCCACACAATCGAAGGCTTTACTATAGTCTATAAAACAAAAGAAGGTATCCTTCTGGTACTCTTTTGCCTTTTCTAAAATCCATCTGATGTTGCTAATTTGATCGCGAGTTCCTCTTCCCTTTCTAAATCCAGCCTGTTCCAGTGGTAATTCTCTTTCTAAATATGGCTCAATTCTCTTCTGTATTAAAAATTCGCGTAGAAAATTATAAAATCGAACTGGAAGGTTATATATTTTTCAATAAAAACATTCGATCTCGCCAAGCTCTCGCCAGGTCCGTATAGACCTTGAGCTCTTTGTAAATAATTCTCATCTGGCAGTTAACAGAATAATAGGATTTTCTATTATAAAATTTGAGCTCTACTGCTGTCGGGACGCTGGATAGGAATACGAGTGCAATCGATTGCCGCAATTATTCCAGGAACGTTATCCTTACATAATTTAGAAAAATCCTGCGTAATAGACGAAAGTTCGGATTCTTTCGGAAATACAATTTCGGCATTCTTCGGATGAACTAATGCCTTTGAAACGCTTTGGATGGTTCCGATAACGATGCAACGATAATTAATAAAGAATATAACTTAATACAAACGTTAAAAGAGACCTCATTCTTATAAACGTCTCTATCACTATACGAAACACTTTTTAAATTTATTTAATAATAGTTTGATAAATACCCGCGTACAGTAGAGACGTAAACTCCAATAAGATCACCGGCTATCCTCTGGAAGCTTCCGGGGGAATAAAATCGTAATGCCGTCAGCAATTGTTGTTCGGTAGTTAATGACAATCCTCTTCCATCTAGACGCGTAATTTTGTCGTCAATACGATTAAAAATACGAACGAATCCAGATTTAGAAAATCTATACCGAATTCGAAATTCGTCTTCGGAATGGATTTCTACAGGATTATTCCGATCTCGTACCCTCTCTCTTCGAAGTTGTGAGATGAATAATATTCTTGATTCGTCCCGTTTACAACTTTGCCATCAACAAATGAATATGGCGACTTCTACTCGAGTAAAATGGTGTGTAAACCCGCTACCGAGGGCGTCTAGAAAATAGGTTAAATAACTCGTTTCTAATCGCTGTCTACATTGTGGCAAGCGAGAAACGCCGTCTCTGCAATGAAATTTTTCTTAACAGAGGTCTACCCGACCTGTAAAACGTCGTCGGCCTCTAAACGTCTGCAATCGGCTGTCTGAGTTCGGAACGTAAGCGTCACGATGAACTTCATTCGTGTTAACGTACTGTACATAACAAAAGCACTTGCGATACCCCGTGAAGTCTTCGACCCATCAATATAAACCTCAATTTTTAGCCCATGAGGGCTAATACTGCTGGTGAGCAACTTCCGTTTGACTCAGAGTCCCGTAAACAAAGACTGTGTGGCATGGCCTAGGTAAAAAAGAAACGGGTTTGCGAGGGCAGCCCGAATGCTTAACAGCGTCACTTTTTTTTAACTCTTTCCACCCTGTGGGCACTAAGAGGGACTCTTTTTGCAAGCCCATTATGGGTTCTGCCAGGCCCACAATGGGGCTGCCGGGTGGTGTGGGGCGGGGCCCGACATATCCGAGCGGACCACCCCCGAAAAATTCCTGGGGAGTTTTCGACCCGTTTGGATACGAACCCGAGTCTCCCCGGAGCGATAGGCTGCCACCTTGACCGCTCGGCCATTCGGCCGCTAACAACGTCACTGTAACTGGTGAGCTGACCATAATTTTCCGCCAACCTTTCGGGAGACTCGACCTTTTATTCTCGTGGCAGAGGCATAGATACAGCGGAGTAGTTGGAGCAAACTGCTTCAGGCCCACGAATCGCGAGAGCGCCAAGTTAGAAATAAAACCTTGTAAAAGCATTTGTAAAAAATTTTTGGATTTAATAATTAATCAATTAACTACTACATTTGAATCCGTTCGACAATTATGTACAGTACACTTTTAAGTGCTTATCACCCACGTATCTTGTCGCATCATCCGATAAAAATATTCTGGAAGGATCAGAATTTTTACAATCGGCGTATTCTTCCGACATTTCGCCTAGTTTAGGACCTCGACTGCTTCTATTTAAAATGTTTTTTATGGTCACGTAAAAGAAATTATTTCCATAAGCCAAGTTGCCGAACTACTTTTAATTCACACCTCCGCCTCGAGTAGGTTTTCCGACATTATCGCGGCATTCCTCAGTTTTTAACTTTACGGACAACGACAGCAGAACGAAGTTTTCAACACTAAAATTAATCAAAACGTATTTAAGAAGTAGCGTGTCACAGTCACAACACGGTCTCAGCTCTGGCTACTGACTATATCGATTGAAAAAACAATAGTTTGTCAACTTGATCCGGAGAAAGTGATTGACCGATTTGAAACGAAAAAGACAGAAAACAGCAATCTTGAGGATGTTTTATGTACTTGTTATGAAAGTAAACTTGCATACGTTTTGTCAATACAGTTTATATAATATGTAGTAGTAAATATTATTAGGTACTCCGTACTTAAAGAGATATTTTGTTTTATTATATTTATATTTATTAAACTGGATATCTTCTTGTTGAAATGCCTCGAATCTCAAATAAATTGTTATTAAGTAAGGTTTTAAATCGAAATAATTAGATACAGTAAAGCCTCGATTATCCGACCCAATTGGGGACTGGGGTTGGTCGGATAATTGAAAAGTCGGATAACCGAAAAGTATGAAAAAATCCATTATTAGTGTAGTATATTATTATATCCCATGTAATTAGTATATTAGTATATCGCTATTAACCTACTTCGCGTTGAATTTTCATCGATGTTAAGCCTAACAAAAATTTTTTAAAATAATAATCGTTGCTATTATATCGTTAAAAATTAGAAAATTAAGCCTCGTTTAAATACTGGCTCCCTTTCATGGTCGAATCAGTGTTGTCAGCTAAAACATGTAAAAATATTATTAAAGTAGCCAAGACATAGCCAAATATTGTAGCGTTACATCACTAGCGGACATTTGAAAATTGCCCTCTAGGACGGTCGGTTAATCGAGGCGTCGGTTAATCGGGGGTCGGATAATCGAGGCTCTACTGTATATATTTTTAAATTAAATGTTCAAAATAAATTTCGCCAGACCTTTTTCGAGGAACAAGGGGGCATCGAACACCGATTCTACTTGCTACACCACTGTCTCGTGGATAAATAACTATGATAACTATGTGAGGATTTTAAAACAGAAACAACGACAGCAAACCGTTATTGTTTTGTTTTTTGTTACTTATGGCAACACAACACTCGGGCGATTTGTCTAGGAAAGGATCTTTTTAAGGGTAACTGGCCCCTCTTTAGGCGTTAAAAACGTGGAGAAACCCGGAAAACTCCACGTGGCCAGCCGGTCTCGGCCAGGTGCCAACCCACGACCGAACTACCGGCGTTCGGGGAACGGCTACCCGGGGGTCCGTTTACAGAAACGTTTTCTCTTTCTCGCTGTAAGTCGTTGTCAGCCAGTTATGTCTATGCATTTAGCTCGAAAAAATTCCACCTTCCGTTGTTCATTTTTCCGAAAGTCCTTCGTATATCGAATGAGGTAAACGTAATATGAGGAAACGAACGGACTTTTCGCTGGACGACGACTTGTCACTCCGACAAATTCGTTACAATCGGCCGGGTCGTTTGCTAGCCACCTTCTCCGAAACGTTCTTCCATTCCGCTCTGTTCTTCCGGAGCCCGACGAGAAACTTACTTCTTCAACCCCTGTCCATATATTCACGCGTCTCATCTGGAGTGGGGTCGGAATACGGTAGAGCGTCGATTATCCGAAAGTCAATTATCCGAAAGAATTCCAGTCGGCAAATTTAAATTTTTGCCATTGCTGTCGCGCTGGAAGCTTTGGCTATGTCTTGGGCTACTCAAATATTTTACGTTTTTGATACTAAATTAACTTCTGAAGTATAATTTTTTGTTGTTTTTATATTTTTCAATATATTTATTTTGTTTGTACAAAATAAAAAAANTAGAACGATGAATGAAATTTGATATCAAAATCCTATTAAAAAATAATTAAGCGTTAATCGTGCGTAATTAAAGGTTGATTAAAATCGTGATAAAATTTTTTCGCGCGGGTAAAAATTTTTGAAAAAATTTGGAGACTTAAAAACATCCAAAAATCCAAAAAAAAATTTTAAAAGTGGCCTTAACGACCGAGTTTTTCGTAACGCTATGAAACTTGCCCGAGATGTCTCGGACAAGTCTTATAGCGTTAACGCTTAATTGTTTTTAATGTGATTTTGATATTAAATTTCATGCACGGATTTGATTTCGGTAAAGTTATTTAAACCTACTTTTTGATGTCAAAAACGACCTCCGATAGTTTTTTAATTTTTTTAATTAATAGATTTAATTATATATAAGTTTAATTAAGTCGGGGAGTCGGAAATNTAAAATCGCGATAAAATTTTTTCGCGCGGGTAAAAATTTTTGAAAAAATTTGGAGACTTAAAAACATCCAAAAATCCAAAAAAAATTTTAAAAGTGGCCTTA